AAATAGGAATAGATTAAAATTAAATTGAATTTGGGAGAATACATTCAGAATAAAAACAAAATCAATTATATGAAATTAAATAAAATTGTAAATCTAAATGCAAATCAAATGAAATAAAAATAAAACGGATTGTTATTTGAAAGTTAATTTTCTATATGAATGTCACAAAAGTAAGCATCTTCTTTCTTCTATTCAAGTTATTGTTGTTGGTGTTATCATTATCATTGTTCTTATCATTCATCATCATTATCATTATTATCACTAACAATTTTAGCTTTGATTTGATGAGTTAGTTTTAATTTTACTTTATTTTTCAGTGATCATTTTTCTATTTCAAAGCATGCTAATACATTTGAATATCAATAATTTTTTATTTTGGGAGTTTTTTATTTTATTTATCATTAAAATTATTTTTGCTCCCAACAATACATATGTAATGACAAAGCTAAATCGACCTAATTCCAATGATAGCTGCCCAATAAGCAACCTTCTGCCATTTCAACAATCAGATTTGAATGTAAAAATATGTGTTTATTATTAATTTCCAAATATATATGCAAACATGATATGTAAACGTTAAATTAAGTCAAATAGTTTTTTAAATTAAACACCTTTGAAGATATTTATTTTAAATAATTAATTAAGTCAAATACCTCTAAATCTTTGAGGGTGAGATATTTAAATGTGTTGGATAGGGCTGAAAATCTCACATTCACTGTAAAAGTGACAAAATATTTTGAATAATACTTTTAAATTTTCATCAGTTTGACAAACTCTTAAAAGAATTATTTGCGTTAAATCATTAAACTGTAACTGAGCAAGATTATAGCAGTTATTGGAATCATTTGATATATTACGTGTTGCAAATAATTTTTTGGATAATTATTTTGGGAAGTTTGATTGAAGTAATTAACGCACGCTTATTTTTAAGTAAAACAATATTATTTATTTCCAAAGCTAATCGGTTCCAATGTGGAATCTTTTAGCTTTACAAGTGAAATAATAATCTGATAAATTTTCATTTGTTCACAGTTTTCTTTTTCCAATTTTTATCACTTTACTAAAAAGAAAGAATTTTTTGATTGTTTAAATCTTTCTAAGTTGTTTTTCCAGCTTTGAAATTTTGATATTTCTTTTTTTTGTTCATCGATATGTTTGTTAGGGGTTGAGTATTGAAAGTAATTTCTTTGTTATTTCATATTCTTCTTCCTTACCATTTTACTAAAAGGAAAGCACTAATTGAAAGAAAGGATTCTTTATTTTTCAAATCTTTCCAAGCTACTTTTCCAATCTTCAATATTTGGAATTTTTATCATTCATCAATACATCGTTAGTTGAGTAATGCAAGCAATTTCTTCGGCAGAATTTTCTCTTACTAAGTATTTAACTAATTTATTCTCAACGCCTCATTTTGGTACTAATTTCGAATCTTATTTTAAAAACTATCAGAATTTTATATGAAAAGTTATAATTTAGTTGTTTATAATTCTTCTTTTTTTCGCAATATTGGAAAGGCGGAAATGTCACACGATTTAGATGAAACATACAGAAAAACACTCATTAAAATTATTTCCGTCTTTTTGAAATTTAACTACTATTTATATTCTTTTCTAAGCAAATACTTACGCATCTCTCAAAAAATTTACTTTTAAAGGATTTGTACTAACTCCAGGGATTAGAAAGTTTCTTTATTGCACTATGTCATCAGGAAATCTTTCTCAAAGATAATAGCTATCAGGAACTGAGCCAGTATGCTTCTGATCCTAAATTTCTCTTTTTTTTCAATGAAACTAGATTTAAAAAAAAAAAAAAAATTTGCGAAGTTTCTATTTAAAATCAAAAAATTTTACTCTTTTTGGTCTAAAATAGAAATTAATTTGCATTTAACTTAATTTCACTTTATCGAATACGTATTTTCTCTCGGGTTTGACAAAAAAGAGCGAAATAATTAATAGTTTCTTAAATTAATTTGACAATATTTCAATTTCATTATAGTTTGCAGGATTTATCAGCCTAAGCCTTATCTTAACAAAATTAGCGAATTTCTTTTCCTCACTATATTTTTCTATTCCATATACTATTATAATTAAGCATAACATGGCTTTCTTCTCTTATTCATTTTTGGCTCATTGGAATACAATTCATTCCAAGACGTAAATAAATGTGAAACAAATAAATTAATGAAAATATAAACAAATTTTTGCACTTTGATTAAATATTATTCGTTACTAATAATAAATAATGTGATTTCATTTTAATCCCCTTTCACTTAACATTTCGTTGAATTAGTTGCTCAGGCCAATATAGAAATGCAGCCTAAAATTTTCAGGTAAATAAAAAATTTCCATATTATTGGAATTCTTTTTAAATATGTTTTAGATTATCAAATTTTTGTACATACTGAAGAGCATATTTTCCCATTATAGTGGTAAAGCAATTAGAGGCGTATTGACAGTTCAAATTAATTTATTATAATTTTTTTCTTTAATCTTTACATCACATTAAAAATTTTACTCTTTTTTCTTTGTATTAACAAAAATATAATGTATTCATTAGTTGAATAATTTTTATCCGAAAAAGAAGCATCTCTAATAATTCGACTTGAAATTGAAGCCAGAAAATTTAAATGAAATTAGAGAAAACGTAATTTGTGGTCGTACTGCGACAGCAATAATTCCATCGTAAAATTATTTAGTTTTGCTGGAAGTGAAATTCATCCAGGAAATGTTTCATTCAATACAAACATTTCTTTCGTCTATCATTATTTTATTGCAAAAATTTGAAGAGAGATGAAGATCCGTCTGAAGATCCGTCTTCATCTCTCTTCAAATTTTTGCAATAAAATAATTTCTAAATGATTTTGTGGACAATAAGCGATATTTCTAACTAAATTTACCTTATCAATACCGCACAAACAATGTATTGCCTAAATTTAAGACATAGAAAAGAAATGAAAATATTTACTGAATAGAGTGAAAAAATGTTAGTTAAGCACTTAATTAAATTATTTAATCACCATTTTCTGCTCCCAAGACATAATATATATTTATTAAGCATTTTCATTTTTTTCTACTTGAAATGAAGTAATACATTGTTAACGTTGTACTGATAAGTGGATTTAAATTAGAAAAAATTAAATATTTTACAAATACATTTGGGAATAATTTTACTATAAAGTTTATAAAGTTTTCTATTTCCTATATATTCTTCTAATTCAATACATTTGCCGAAACTTTATCAGTGCGATACACTCGGAATACTCGATCCTTTCGATATTCGTCATTTTATCACTGTGATTTCATTTATATTAGGCCAGCATATAAATAATATTTCCCACAATAATAACAATAATAATGATAATAATAATAATAGTGATAATAATAATAATAGTGATAATAATAATAATAATAGTTCGGACAGAAATGTATACATGAAGAAGAAGCTTAGGCGAGAATAAGAACTCTATTAGCTAATAAGTCGAATAATCAGTAAAAGAACTTAAATAAGCATTCAGAGGCTATTTGTGCTGTTAGCCCAAAGAAATAACGATGTAAATTTTCTATTACAATTTGAAGAGAGTAAATATAAAATTTCGATTTCATCAAAATACATCAGAAAGAGCATTCAGGCCTTTGGATATTATCTCGACAGGTATTATTTATTACAGCTACCATAAATCAATTAAAAAAGTAAAAATTTTTTTGTGAATAACTGATTAATAATAAATGCAGAAAATAGTCAAGATCTATTCAAAAAGGTAAAAAATCTGAAGTCCAAAAAAGTCACTTTTAATTGGCTGAAATAAGATTTTTTTTTTGATTTTCGGGCATAAACCTGACAATCGTCTGTAGTAAATTATCCATTGAAACAATAAAACTGAAAAAAAAAGACTGAGTTATTTTTTTGTATTTTGAGTAGGACATCTGGACCATTTTCTTTTAAAATTCAACAATTAAAATTAGTTTTTACATTTGAAAAAGGTTGAAAAATCTGCTGAAAATATAAATTTTTTATTCAGAATTTGAAAAGTTTTTTTCAACATAATGAATACATTATCAATAACATATTTTTCATAAGCTTAGAATTTAATATGCATTATAGAGAAATAAGAAACGATTCCTTTTGATTTCTTTTTAGTTTAATTCCCGTATCAATTTTGATTATTAGTTACTAATGCTAGGCAATTTTAATTGTAAGAAATGTGAAACTGATATTATTTATTATTCTTTTGTCTCATGACACGCATTAAATTTAAATAAGCATTTCAAAATGACTTTAGAATTACGCGAAAATTTTTTTTCTTTTTAAAATAGAACGAAAAAAAACAAATCAAAAATTTGCTTCTCAGGGATATTTCCACATAAATGTATGTAATAAATTCATTGTCTTTTAAATTAAAAAAATTTTTCGCCTTTGTTCACCAAAAAAATGCATAATAAAAATAAATTGCTTCATTTTATATTTCCGATAATACAATGGCATCCATGTTGACATATAAGTAATTTGCATCTCCAACTACTTTTTCTACAAACTCATCTCACATTAATTATTATTGCTTGATGTTATCGCACTTTTTTATTTTGAATTGTTCAGTTTTTTTTCCATCCATTCCGTATGAAATTAACAAAATAACTAAACTATCATAATATTTCTCATCAATCATCTCTGATAATTTATTTATTTTTGTTTTTTCATTATGTAAAACATACCTTATTATAAACTTTAAATATTGAAAAAATATTTAAATGCGAAATTTCATTTTTTTATATTTCCTTAATTATCTCTCCTTATACAATCCATTGGAAAAATTACATTGAATAACTCATCCTTTCAATACTAGATGAATATGACCAATCATAATTTATTTAAAATAATTTCTTGGCAAAAATTATTTTATTAATTTTTTTTAATATGACTACTACTGACAAAATTTTCAAATAGTTTCAAACATTAAATTACTGAGCAAAATTTTAAATGAGAAAAATTGCAGTTGATTATCTATGGGAGGTGAAGGATCGAAAATCCGACGCTCCAAATCGACGGGAATTAAAAAATCAGCGAATCGAACCACACAGCATAACACACCTTCAAAAACTAAACCAACTGGTTGTACTGATAATCTGCTCAATGTTGGTAAGTATCCTTGTATCATACAAAATTTATATGACTCAAGCATGAATATTAGATTTTATTCTATTTAGAATCTCATTTTAGAATAAAAATGATTAAAAGAATCGAAAAAGTTAATATTTGGCTCATAATATAGTCAATTAAATTTAAGTTCATTTTCCGTAATTTGGTTACATCTCAAATTGATAGCTAATGATAACATGAGACAATTATGATGGGATATATATATAGCTACTAATTGCGATAGTTATAGATTTTGGTATCCGAGCAGGAAATTCATCAAAATCTTCTCAGGAATTAAATATTAATCGGAGTCGTTCCGGGAGTATATGCAGCTCACGAAGTGTGTCGAAACAAAAGCATCCAATTCCAATCCGTGATCGAAACCTTATTCAGGTATTGCATTAGCAATAAACTTGCAGGATTTCTACAATTATGTTTAATAATCATAAAAAATTCGAATGATATATTTAATTGATCAATAGAGTCTGCTGATATTATTATTTACAGTTAAAATTAGTTTTCAACTTTTAATCAAAAAAGAGCAAATATAATATTATTTATTCTTTTTGAATATGAGATTTTTTCGAAATCGGTTTTCAATCGGTCTTTGAAAAGATCATATGCGTGTTAGAATAATAGAAATATTTGTGGGAACTGGAAGTAAAAAAATCAGAAATGGGTAAATATGCAAATTATAAATCGTTTCTCGATAATAACCTGAAGCATTGCATAGAATGTCCGAGTAATCCCGGTAAATTATGGTATAAATAAAAAAATTCGTAAATAAGACACCCAGAACCTGAAATATTTTTGAAAAAATTGTAATTTTCAACCAAAAGTTTTGGAAAAAGTTTTATATCCGAAAAGAGTAAATGATTTTTTTGTTTGCAAGAATTTCTTTCTCCCTTTTTGATCAAAAATTAAAAGTTAATAAAGATAAAAAATTTATTTCAAAATTAATCAATGTTTACAATGAGAGAATAAAAAAAAGAAAACATAAAAAACGGGGTCATAAAACTTGACGGTTAATTTATTGTATTGAGATTTAATTGTGGAATAGCAATTTAACATCAAATTTTTATTAAATGCGTCATCATAAACGTCATAGCAGATTTTTTTATTTTAAAGAGAGGAAAAAGAATTGAAAATGAAATGAAGGAAGAATAAATAATATGGAAATCGTTATGTAACCGCTATGGGGTAGCATTTATATGAGCAGATAAATAGTAAACAAATGATCATGCTAAATAGAAATGATCATGCGATGAATGATAATTCGATGAATTCCTGAAGATAAAATAGTTGGAAGGGATGATTTGAAATAATTAAATGGAGTATATATAAATAAAAATATGGCTTCCAGTGGTTATTAAGAATTAGTTTGAACAAATCAATTCAATAAATAATTTTTTCAGTAATAATAAATAACTCAACAGATGATTTGAATTAGACAAATAGTGCAAATAACAATACCTATTTGTGAAAGAAACAATTGATTTTAATCAATTAAGGTGCAAACGAGTAACAACGGAAAAGGAAATAAAATAAATTTTAAAAAAGAAATTTTTTTCGATGAAAGGTTTTTTCAAAATAAATTTTACTAGTTATTTTACTAGTTTTTTCAAAATAAATTTTAGTTGCTTTGCTATCGATCAAATTGTTTTAGTTTGCTATATTTAAGCTATAAAAATCTCATAAATAACACTTTCAGAGTTGTTTTCAAAATCCACACGAAATTATTGGTCATAAAATTTTACAAAGAGCTTATGAGAAGCGGAATGGCTTTGCAAATTTCTATGCTAAATTAAGCAGCGATGAGAAGGATGATATTGAAGAGGGAATTAAAGTTCTTCTGAAGAAAACTGTTGCAAACATTAATTTTATGGATGAAGTAAGTTATAGTACTATTTGCAGCAGAAGGCATTTAAATTTCTAGAACTTATTCAAATTTAGACAAATATTTTTTGAAAAATAATCAGCGAGGATTTAAACCATAATAATCTTGAGTGGTTTCAAAATTTATCTTTGATATAGTTTAAAAAAATTATCAGGTCCTATCATTTATATTATTATTCTTATTAAAAATTAAACTAATCCGAATTGAAATCCTTATTGGCTTTTCATGCATCAAAATGCAAATTTCTTTTGAGATTTTAATTATAACCAAGAAATACGTCCACACTTAACAATTCAATTACATTTCTAAAAACAAGAAAAAATTTTTCAGTTTTCGAATATGCAAGCTTTTAGGTTCAACGATTGGCAGAAGAATTCGGTGGCAAGCATGTCAAATTTCGAGTTTTAGGTTTCAAGCCTGAATTTTTCGGAGCTTATGCTGATGCTACCATAACTGAATGTATATTCCTAGACAATGCTATGCATCCTACGCATCAAACACTTACCGCATTTTCTTCATTCATCACAGTGGTTTAAATTTTAAAATCCGAATTCGAAATACAATCATATGAATGTTAATTTTCGAAATTTTAATATTGTTATTAAAAACTTTTTCTAGCTATAAGATTGCTCAAAAAATCCAAATTATAGGTATATTCATCGGTGAGAGATGGCTTTTATGAAGAAATGCGACGTATGCGACGTGCATCAAACAGTTTTAGTACGGGTTCTAATTCGTCTTATATGAAGAAAACTATATCAGGCGACCTTGGTACTGACTTACTACAGAGGTCAATGTTTCTCTTAAATTTAGAAAAGTAATTATCTAACTATCAAAGATAATCCATAAAGGATATGATTTTGAGAAGGGTGGAAGGACATAAAACGATAATATGGGCTTTAAATAATATAAGTGATGATTAGCACAAAAATGTTAAATTTCGAATATGGAGTGCTATATGCATTACTGGAATTAATTGTCAAAAACGCTTACATCTAAATTCATTTCAGGTCAGCAAGTCCGGGTAATGAGTCTCGCGTATCAGATTTTAGTGCAGTGATAGTGATAACTGCAGATAACGATAGCTTGCTGAAAGAACCCTCGAATGATCCCTAAACATACAAATTGTTAGTTAAATAGTGCACATTACCAC